CTCCAAGAAGTGTAAAATTGAAGCATCCATCTTTGAGATCACTTTATTTGTTCTGCGCTAAGCATGACAATAAACGTGAAACAAAGGTTATCAAGCAATTGGACTGGACACATCTACAACCAATATCACTTATACGTGTCTCGCTGGTTGCATGCAGTTGCAAGTATTATGTTCTCAATTCCCATTACTTTCGAATTATAATAGGTGCGTTCGGTTTAACAAAATCGGAGCCGAGCGAGCAGATGCAGATTTGGTGTCACGTGATCACCTAGCAGATAGAGCTAAAGATATTTTTCTACTCACATTACTAAAATGGCATTTAGCGTACGGATATGTACCACGCTAAATGACCGATTAATCACGGATTGTCGATCTGTGATTTATTCAAAATATTAAACACGTTACCATGGCAATACGATTTCTTAAACACATTACCATGGCAACACAGTTCATTAAACACAGCTTCAGTAATTTGGGACATGTCTGGCCTGTCAATTGTATTAACTGTCAACTGTTATTTTCAAATCTTGTATCAGAATTATTCAAACAATATTCGTTTGTATCAGAGTTCTCCATTGAAAATATATGCGGAATGTAGACGAAAGTGAAATCGCAGAGAATGTTCTGGTACTTGCATATTTCCAAGAAGTATAAAAATGAAGCATCCATCTTTGAGAACAATTCATCTATTTTGTGATAAGCATGACAATAAACGTGAAACAAAGGTTAGTAAGCAATGGACTGGACACATCTGCAACCAATATCACTCATACGTGTCTCGCTAGTTGCATGCAGTTGTATGTATTATGTTCTCAATTCCCAGTCCTTTCGAATTATTTTGTAGGTTAGCAGGAATAGTAGGTATGTTAATGTAATTTTCGGAGTTCGTAGAAAAAGCATAGTATGTAACGCGTTTATAAACTCTTCTAGACACTCGTTTATTAAACACTCGCTCCGCTCTGCTCCGCTCGTGCTTAAAATACTCGTTACTAAAAGGACGTTTATAACACTTGTTACATAATATACTATTAACGAACGCTCAAGGAGGTAGTTACTAGATTGCGAGCGCCAGCTGTCAGAAGTAACAGAAAACAGAAACAATTCACTTAACCTTATTACTTTTGAAAACACGTCAGGGCAACAAAAAGTTCTTTTGAATGTTTGTTGTTTATATTTTGATAATTACTAGGGAAGGAATGATTCTGTCTCATATGATCGGTCATTAACTGTGGATCCAGGGCAGTTGTGATCGCATATATTACATATATAATTAATATGCTACCTACAGCAAATTCGTCGGTCATTCTGGCGATTCTGGGCAAGGAAGATTCTACAAAATTCAGTTTCGTGTTTCGTTTCCGGTTGATCGAGTCTTAAATTTTTCTACATAAAAGAGATATAATTTCAATAACATGTTGTTGACATTGATTTGTTGACAATTGACAACCGAATAACCGATCAAATCTGAATGATCTGCTCCTCAAGGCGGAGCAAACAGATTACATCTTTCAGCTCGCTCTGACAATTAACGAACACGGAGCAGATTAGACAGAGGAAGTAGATCTGATTTATCGAACGCTTTCCGAGCTAACAGATGGAATCGAGCTAACAGATATGTTATAACCGAACGCACCTTTTGTAGGTTAGCAAGAATAGCAGGTATGTTAATGAAATTTTCGGAGTTCGTAGAAAAAGCATAGTATGTAACGCGTTTATAAACTCTTCTAGACACTCGTTTATTAAACACTCCGCTCTGCTCCGCTCGTGCTTAAAATACTCGTTACTAAAAGGACGTTTATAACACTTGTTACATAATATACTATTTTCGGAAAGTGCTTGTCAAAAAATGGTCGCCATTTGGAAAATAATAGTTGGACACGAAAATGTAATTATTTCAACTTGTCTTATTCATATCTATCATACTTGTCACTGAAACTTCGGGATTGTAATTTTCTGATATCACCTGAGGTCCTTAGATTAGTTTACTTCCGCGATCATGGCCACCTAGATGTAATTTCAAAAGTGACTCCGAAAAAATTGAGTAGGCATAAAAACTTTCGAAAATGTCACATTCTGATCTAGAATTGTCTCAGCAATCCAAAAATGTTACAATATACAGGGTGTTCCATTTAAAAATTTAGAACCGGGGCCATTTCCGGTGAAACCGGAAGTGTCCGGGAAGTGAAAAATATGTGAAAACTCTCCTCTTCATATACCATTTACCTATACCAAATCCCATTTTGATACACCTAATGGTCTAGAGTTATGACTTGTCTAATAGATTCGTTGACACCCGGTATATATCTAGTACAATTATAATTGAAAAGTAAAACATATTCAAGTCATGCAAATCTCAATAAAAATATACGTAAAGCTTTCAGAGCGTTACTGCACTCTTGAATCATCCCGTATATTCGGAAACATGAACATTTCGTCGAATTGAAGTGAATCAAATGAAAATGTAGGGTATATTAAAAGTAACATAAAGCAAAAGCATAACCTTAATTCAGATGTAAAACATAATTAGAATAAGCAATAAATTAGTTAATTATTGAAAAGGTGTGCCTGCTAAATGCCATTTTAAAAGTTCTTACATAATTGAAGACAAATTACTAATTTAAATAATATAATGTATCCATTTATTAGTCGGAGTAGACAGCAACGCCCTTCTGGAATCGAAAGTGTCGAGGATAGTTTATTTTCTATTTTACTATCTTGCAACCTTGTTTCTTTGAAAAATGGTACAGGCGATTAATATTTTTTCATAGATAATTTATAATAATATTGTGACACTTTGATTTCAAGTGGTATTGAATATATCGACGATTTCATAACAACATTTCATACATTCAATCATTCGGATTTTAATTATACTTGAGATATTAATTGAATCATACATGAAATTTCGAACATTAAATAGCGCGAAAAAATTGATACACAACAGAGATGTTGCACCAAGATATTTGGGTCACTTTCAGTGATTGAATCATTAACACACTCTGTTTTACTTTTCATTTTGATACAGAATTAGTTGGAGAAATACCTCCTTCAATATCGACATGATATTCCTCGTGTGTTGAGAATTTTTTGTTTGGGAATACGTTACTCTACAAAATATCTGGTATAAAGGTATATTATCGTTTATAATAATTGCACAAGTGCATAAAAATTGACGATAATTTTGCAAGAGAGCGTGTTATCTATTCTAAAAATTGCAAGTTCATTTTTATATTTTGGCGGAAGAGTCCGAGTCCTAAATTATCTGGTAATTTTAATGCACGAGTGTAATTCATTGGAATATTTCACGAATGAAGAAATTGTCGGAGAAATGTTGTTTTGTTTTCTGAGAAATACCTATCATTATACTATCAAAGACTGTAGGAGAAATGTGGAGATGAGTTTAACTAAAAGCTGGGTCAAACACTGGAAAAACAGGCGGGTAATACTAATATATAAACAGGAAAGATTCGATTGTTTGTTTGTTTGTATGTCTTGAATAGACTCCGAAACTACTGAATCCATTTGGCTGATAATCGGTGGGGAAAGAGCTTAGAAACGGGGGAAAGTTATAGCATACTTTTTATCCCTTTACCATTAGGAAATTCAAGATGTCGGATCTAATATATCGTCGTTTTGTTATTATGGTCCGATTCTATTCAAAATTGGTATCTGGGGGTTTTCGAGGTCGGAGATTATGATTCTTTCGTCAGAATTTGAAAATTCGGGCGGAATTTGGAAATTTAAGATGGCGGAACCAATATGGGGGACGAGTTTTGTAATTATAATCCGATTCTTTTCAAAATTGGTACCTAGGGGTTTTCGTGACCGGGGATCATGATTCCTTCGTCAAAATTATAAATTCAAAATGGCGGATCCAAAATGGCGAATATTGTAATTAGGATCCGATTTTATTCAAATTTGATATCTGGTGGTTCTCGGGGTCGGAGATTATGATTCTTTCGTCAAAATTAGGAAATTTAAGATGGCGGACCCAATATGGCGGACGAGTATTGTAATTATGATCCGACTCTCTTCAAAATTCTAATCTGGGTGTTTGCGGGGTCGGAGATTATGATTCTTTTGTCAATATTTGGAAAGGGCGGGATTTGGAAATTCAAGACGGTGGTACCAATATATACCGGACGAGTTTCGTAATTATTTGCCGATTCTATTCAAAATTTGTAAGTGGGCGTTTTCGGAATCAAAAATTATGATTCCTTCGTCAAAATTACGGAATTCAAGATGGTAGAACCAATATTGGGAACGGGTTTTGTAATCATGTCCCGATTCTATTCAAAATGTTCATCTGGTGTTTTAGGAGTCGGATATTATGATTCTTTTGTCAAAATTGGGAAATTCAAGTGAACTAAAAAGAAGTTGAAATAAATGGTAGTTTGAAAAACTAAACACGCTTTCACAGATAGCGAAACTAAAAAGAAGTAGAAATTAAAATAATAATAGTGTCTTGATGAATATTGAACTAGAAATAATGTATATAGCCTTTTCTCGCGGTAAAAAGTATAGCCTATGTTCATCAGGGATTATGTCGGCTTCTAATGGTAAAAGAATTTTTTAAATCGGTCCAGTAGTTTCGGAGCGTAATCAATGCAAACAAACAAATCTCTCTCCCTTATAATATTTGTATAGATATGGCATAATTCAATTCGACGTTATGAAGTAAAAAACGTACATTTGAATTTTTGGTGACGGAACATTTGAGATTTGGTGGCGGAACGCATTCACCATTTTATTCAGAAAATCGCTATATTTTTTGAATGATGAATTCAATTCATTTCGTTAACACCCTGTATGTATAAATCAAGAGTCTGAGCATATTCGTATAAACATGTAATTACTGACTGGTACTTTATGTGTATATAGTAGGCATTACGATGGTCGAATTTGCATATCTAGAATATTGATCTGGATTTCATGCCTAATGAAATACGTGAAATGTGGTGTCAGAACCTGTCAATTTGAAGACCATTACAACAGTTAAGATGTTGATATGTGATGGTATGATAATTCCGTTTTCGAATGCTCATCAACTACGTGAAATATAGATTTGGTTCGTCGTGCCATAATATATGATTGGAAAGTAGATTAGAAAGATATTGTGGGATAATGTTTCTTAGATACAAAAATATACTCGGTATAGTTTCAATTGAACCAACTAAACTGCTCAACATTTCTGAATGTTTGTTTCATCGACTATCTAACAATTCTAACCTATATGGAAATGATTATTGTATCTCTACAGAATGAAATTCCACAGGATAATGAGCAAAGCTGCGCATTTCAAAGGCCTCCCGTTGGAAAAAATAGTAGATTGTTTCATTAGGATCAAAAGTGACACTTTGTTTGACAAGCGAATTTTGCATTTGCGAGGCGGAGCGTTTAGCGAAGCCGAGCGAAAGCAAAATTTGCGAGTCGAACAAAGTCACTTTTGATCCGAATGAAACATGCTATTTTTTCTGCAACCGAAACAATTAACTCGAATTAACATGTGAAGTAACCACCAAATAATGCCGTGCCATATGTATGCAATGCAACAAATATTGACTAATAATCTGTGTGGTGAGAATATTCTACTTGCATTAACAGCAGGTTAGGTTTTCAAGGATGTTAGGATTGTAATTTCAATATAAATACAACCACAGAGTGACATATTTGTGTATGGACCAGGTGCTCTAATGGCAAATACCGCGCCAGTGCCAGCTATAGGAACAAGACGTGGAAAATGTTAGGTTAGTGAGCATATCAACAATGATAATAGTGATTATTTATTCCTCTCCATACTACACTGTGTTTGACTTGATAATCAAATGAAGCTAAACAATATCGTTGTTTGAGACAAAAAAAACTATTGCTTGCCGTGATTATTCAAAAACAAGTTATCCATCCCGAGAATAACGAATGAAATACAGATCAAGCAAGTATTTGAATCTTGAAGGCTTCCCTGATCGAAACAAAAATACTTGACTGAGATGTTTATAATTCCAATACTAAACTATAATAAGGTGTATTTATATCTCCAGCATGGGAATGAAATGTCAAGTCTGCTGAAATCGGAAACAAATCAGGTTTGCGTCTCAACCCAAATAACCAACCGTCACAATGTTGTTTATTCTTGATGACGTCCAGTACATCCTTTTTAGTTCCTAGGAGCTAAAGTTCAACTTTAGCTCCTAAGAACTAAAATTCAACTTTAGCTCCTAGGAACTAAATATGTTGCCTAGCAACATACCTATTTTTGTGTCAGTAATAGAAACGTCAATTTAAGAGCTAATTTTGGTATCAAAATGGACTTTTGTGTCGGTTGCAGAAAAAAATAATATATAGGTTCACTACTGTGACCAACTACTTGAAAACCTTTTCTTGAAGTTCCAATTTGTAGAGGAAATATGAGACTACAATTTCGACATATCAGAGGAATTTCAGTTGCCTGATGGATAGTTCATCAAGCTATTTTGCTAGAATATTTAAAAAAAATCACGATTATTTTCATCCGGCTTTTAGTTGTTTTCTCATTTCGGAGACATGATTGATTACTTGCCAGTCGCACAACGACGACCAGATTCAGCAAATACAAAAATCTCTCGATTTGAAAAATATAATTTTGTAAAATGTCAGCGCAGGACTGACTAATTTGAGAGGTTAGATAATCATGAACTCTTCTTCTTCATGAAATAATGGGAAAATCGATACCTAACACTTAAACAATGAGTTGAAAACATTGTTGTCAGCTCAAAAATTCTCAATTTTTCAACAATGTTGCTATCACTTGAACCATGATGAAAATCTTGAACTTATGACCAGTCTTGCAGTTACTCTGCAAACAGAATACAGAACTTCATAGCAATATTGTTATATGTTATGATCATAACAATATTATTATCTTAGCAATGTTATAACAAGATCCGAACAGAATCGACCCGTAATTTCCAGGTTGTTCTCGGAATAAGTCTACACACTACTTCATTCTTTGGTATTCTGTGCCCGTGTGTTACCTCATACTTCAGCAAGAAAAATATTCCTATAGATCAGGTGAATGCGATCTTTCCTCTTCATTAGATCCAAAAGAATGACCGAATAAGGAAAATGTCGCTCAATTATTTGTCAACGTTTTAATAGATGAACATTTGACTCATTATTGTTCGATGAAAAAAAAGCTAAAGAATTTGCGGCATGCGTAACGAACCTGTACAAAGAAACCGATATTCAATCAGTATTATGTCGGACATTTTTTTTATCGGTCATAGTACGAGAAAAATTCCATTTTCTACAGCTGTTCACCTTTTTTGTGAACTGAAAGCTTTGAATAATGTATTACGTGATTGAAAAGTTATTTTTACGGGGTTTTTGATCCCGATTGGCTCATCGAAGACGATCCATCCAAGTTTTCTCCGTTGCATTGCAATTAATGAAAAACCGCGACTGAAAAAAATAGTCGGTAGTAAATACCAAACGTTTAGTAAAATAGGCGCCAGTCACAAACAAATTTAAAAAAAATGTATTACCTACTCCACATTTAACTCTATACCTATTGCATACACATAATCACACTTTCCTGTGTGATCAAAAATATCGACCGTACTAAAAAGAAAGAAAACTTTATTCAATCAGCATTTGTTGCGATACGTATTGTTATCTAATTGTATCAACATTTACAATTACTGTGAGCAAAGAGTTAGTGACTTGCAATTCAATGCCAATATGTTTCTTTAATTGTATATACAGGGTAGCATTGAAATCAGTGCGAATGTTTCAAACACTGAGAAAGCTCGACGTGTACTATCGAATGACACTAATAATAGTTATTTAACCAACTAGTGTATTAATGAGGGCGATTAATGATCGAGATATTTTAACGTGCGAGCGAAGCGAGCGCGTTAATGTTCGAGATCATTAATCGCCTTTTAATATACAAGTTGGTTACAAAATTTTTCCGTCGCCTATATTTCTCATTTCTCCTGCAACGAAGAAAACTTAGTTCGCGAATTCATCATCCATCCGGAAACTGCTAAGAATCACCCAGTAGCCTTGTTAGTGACATTAGTGACATTTGACATTTGTCGAAATGATCAACATAGAAAATAAAATCCTTGTGTTAGAAAAAAGCACAAAAAAGGGATTAAAATCGTGTCAGAAACTTGGAAAGGTGAACCCGTTATCGGAAAATCTTCGATAAAATCCATATTTTCGATTTAAATGCAGATTCCGTAAGTTATAGCATAAACAATGAATGCACGCGGTGTATGTTTGGTTGCCTATGAAACAATCGTGCATTAATAGACAAATTGATCATTAATAGGGGTCATTAATGAACGATTTCATGAACATTAAACTTACTCGTTAATACGAGGTCGACGGAAAAAAATATTTGGGGATCAAAATCAAATTTGAGGTTAGACACCTTTTTCCAGCCAAAGTTCAACACTGTAGCAAATCTGACGTCACTTCTGTTCAAATTTCAATGCGGTAGGCACAATGAGGCGGAGTTCAATCATTCAAATTGTTTTAAAGTGCCGTACTTGCTTTTTTTTCTCGTATTTTGTCCAATTTCCGGTATGAAATTTCTCGTTAATTAGGAGAATTAGAAAAAATCTGATATCATGGGAATATTCCTTGGACTGTATCATATTGATGTGCTGAATATGTGCACTTATTTCAAAAACACCTTGTATAGGTATAGTATTACTTATACCATATCGTAGCCCAAAGGCTAAGGTATAAGGTAGGTGGGAAAGAAATTGAAATGATGACAAGAAAATTGTTCAAACTGACCCCTAAGGTATCAATTAGATCAAAAACAAACGGAAACCAATGGAGGAACCTTCGAAATATCTCTGACAATAGCACATGTAACAATTTGAATTATTCGACTTTTCACCTTCATCTACTTATAGTATTCCATTGTCTCAATAAGTGAACAGTATCAAAGTCTTTTGTTGGATAAAAATGCAAATCATATCACCTTTTACGTTCAATCATAGTGCTGTATTGTTATTATATCCCATTTATATAATGAGTCATTGATATTGTTCGAATATTGATTCATTTTTTTATTCAAATCCGTATAGACTAGAGTTTGTCTAATATATGAGTCTGACATTTTTTTGTAGAGGTTATAATAGTATATGTGATCTAAAAACATTGATTAGCAATTCTGCGAAAAAATAGTATATTATGTAACAAGTGTTATAAACGTCTCTTCAGTAACGAGTATTTTGAGCACGAGCGCAGCAGAGCGGACCTTTGAAAGTAATCACTCATTTTTTTCACAAGGCGTTAGGAATTTGATGGTGAAAGAGTACCATTTATTGAAAGGATATAACGTCCATAGGAACGTTGGGTACTTTCTGGGATGGAAGCAAACCAGTAAACTCGCGTCACGGAAGCACGAGTACCATACGACCGGCATTATCATAAGTCATTCCATAGAAGTTATCACTTCCGACGTGTGGTCCTATACAGGGTGATTCACATAACAACCGACATAAGGCAGGGGCATGTAGGGGGTCCCAAAATATGGCAATTTAACGCAACTTACCTCTATACCAAGTTGCTTCCCTAAGGAGTTATAGGCATAGCACTAACAGCATGTCAACTTGCTCGTTAAAAGAAAACTTCCCGTTCATTTTAAAAACACTCAAACAACAATTACTTAATTGAACAACTCACTTACCTCATTGTCAAGTTTGACGTTTATTTTCATAGCCAACTTTTGAATTTTCGATGATTTTGAATAACACTCCTGGAGCGCGCATTTTCAGTTATTCGAGTTTTTGATGAAAATGATGAGGTTTTTCGAAAAATTACTGGAGTAAGAAAAGTTTTAGAATTGAATTGCCCACAAAACAAAGCAAAGATTTTTGAAATCCATCAAGGGTTAACAAAATTATGTTGAATATTAATGGTGCGCCACCCGGTATACCCCCTTTACAAATTTCAATTAAACTCTAGTTACTGTCAAGTAATGCCCTAAATACATTCACAAAGTGTACCAAATTTGG